GCTTGAACTTAATAACTGAGCCCGAAGATGACGTTTCCAATGAAAAGAAAGAATTTTCTAAATCGTTTGCGAACAATGTATACTGTTCAGTGAAAGAAATCGTGGATGAGTCGATCAGAAATCAAAACCCTGTGCAAAGAGATCCCTTTTACAGGGAAATTTACAATCAGTGGAATTTTCTTAAATCTTCTCAATGTCCATTTCTGGAGAGAGATGATTTAATGTCTGCAACGAAGGATTATTTTTTATCAGAAACAGACAGACCTTTGGCAATTATTGGTGAAAACGGAGCTGGGAAGACCTCCGCAATAGCGAAGATTATCAGGGATGTGAACACCGCCATATTTAACAAGGACTTGACAATGAGGACAGCTATTGTGTTCCGTTTTGTAGGAGAGACTCAAATTGTTACCACACGACAGTTTCTCTTCAATCTTTGTCTTCATTTGGTCGACTTGATGGGAAAAGAAAGAAACGAAATCCCAACGGATTACAAACAGTTGAAATACTTTTTCTCAGAGCTTCTTCTCAGTGGAGAATTTGGCGGTATGCTAATAATTCTTCTTGATTCAGTGGATTTGTTAGAAGATAATCACAACTTCGAATGGCTCCCAATAAAAATAGCAGTAAATGTCAAATTGATTGTATCATGTAGTTCAGACAGGAAAGAACTGTGCACTCATTTGTTGGACAGATGTAAAGACAGTGTCCACTTTCTATCTCCACTGTCTTCTACCGAGTGTGAGAGGATTTTCAGAGCTTCACTGAGCACTAGCTGGAGGTCAGTCACATACGAACAAATGTCCATTGCAAAAGACGCTTTCCGGGTATGTACCCTACCATTGTTTCTGACCATGGCTATTGAGGAGGCTAAACGTTGGCATTCCTATGACAACATGAAGTTTTGTTTCATTGGAGAAAACGTTGGAGAAAACATCTATGCCTTATTTGAACGCATTGAAAAAGAGCATGGAACTTTGCTTGTATCGCATTTTCTTGGTTATCTCACTGCCGCAAACTTGGGATTGAGCGAGGCCGAATTACTGGATATAATGTCAATCGATGAAGCGTTGCTTGATGTCGTCACTGCATGCTGCAAAACTGCCATAAGAAGAATGCCATCGTATCTCCCAGTGCGTTTGTTACAAGATCTTGAACCCTTTATTACAGAGAGGGAAGTTGATGGGATACTTGTGCTATCATGGAAGCACAGGCAATTTCTAGAGGCAGCCGCTAAGAAATATTTAAGCGAAGAGAAATTCGTGGAGAATGTGCATTCAAATATCGCAGACTACTTTTTAGGAACATGGGGTGGAGCCAGAAGTAAACCATATCCCCAAAACCAAAAATCTCCTCAAAAAAGAGAAAACGAAGCATGTAGATTTTTATGCGAGCAACCAAATCATTTTGGAAGCACAGAAGCAACGATAACTTACAATCTCAGGAAATTTCGACATCTTCCCTTTAGCCTTCGAAAGAGTAATCGCTTGGATGAATTAAAGAAAAACGTACTGTGTGATTTTGATTATATGTCTGACAAAATCAAGTCCTCAACAATTCAGGAACTTTTGAGAGACTACAATGACGCACCTGATCGAGAAATTCAACTTGTAGAGGACGCATTAAAAATGGCAAAACAAACAATTGAAAAGGACATAAATTGTTTAGGAGCTGAGTTATCAGGTCGATTGCTGGAACATACTAAATCCTATAAATATATTCGCCAACTCGTGTACAGCTGTGACTTTAACGCTCAAAGAAACTGCCCTTTAATTCCAAACTGCCAGAGTTACAATACACCGGGTGGGCTGCTGCAATACAACTTTAACGCCGAAAGTGCGTCAAATATTTCCTTTCATCAAAGTCCGTGTGGTATTTTTCTTACAGCTAAAACTGCCGGTTCTCTCTCGTTAAGAGCATGGGAAATTTCGAAGGGAGATCCTAGGCCTGAAATAGTGATGCCTTTTGGTCAAATTTACGCGACTAAGGACGGAAATTTCCTCAACGTTTTTTGTAATGACGGAACAGTTAGAATTTTTCGTTCAGATTGTGGTGAACTTTACGATTCGATCGAGTACAAATATGATGATATTGCAAGCGTTTGTCTTTCGAAAAAGTACTTAGCACTTGCATTGCAAAGGGAAACCGGTCCATATCTTATCGACGTAACAGAGGCATCCCTTATTCACAGATTCAGTTATCATTCACGAACCATGGCAATTAATTCCGAGGAAACATATTTTGTTTGTGAATCCGGTCGTAATATTTTCTTATTTGAATTACCACGATTAGTCCGAAAATGCGCGGGAGAAGCTAGTGATGTCCCGAAACAACTTGTCCTTTGGGGAGATACAAAATGTTTTGTCGTCACCAAAAGCAAACAAGTTGAATCTATCACTTTTGACATCACCAACAAACACTACAGACGTAACAATCTTATGACTGACATTGATATCCGAGATATGAAGTTGTCCAACACTGGATTTATTCTAGTCATTATGACTGGAAAGAGCCTCCGATTGTTTTCAACCAGTACGGAAAAGCACAAGTTCATAAACAATGACCTGCCACCTTGTTGTTCGACGTATCCGTCTTCAAACTACACCAGCGTGTCATTCTCTGCTGACGATAAGTTGCTGATAGGAATTAGAGGCTTCTTTGTTCTCATTTGGAAAACCGACACCGGGAAACTTGCACGTGTTCTGCAGACGGGGAATGCCCCTCTCCTGAAATTGCTAACGTCATCTGCAACTAATAAAGCAGCGACACTCTCCGCTGACAACGATGTCCAAATCTGGGACTTGAGCAATGTTGATTATCCAACTAGACATACTGACAAAGTATTTCAAAATCCAGTCAAAAAGACTGAAGTGCTTCATGGCAAACATCAAGTTGTCTGTTTAGGCTCAAAGCAAGAAGACGTAAAAGTTGTCAACAGCAGCAGTGGACAAATCGAACACATTTTACAAAACGACGATGATGTTAGTTATGTCCATGATTTCATAGTATCTAGAGATGGCAATTACGTCATAACAAGAATTCATTCTCAAAGCCTAAGAGACCAACCCTCTACAGATACCATTCTCTACGATGATTTACTGTGGGATGTCAAGAGTGGTTGTAAAATTCGACATGTCTTCGATAGTCGCTTTGCCGTTTTCTCAAATAACTGCCGAACCCTAGTGTTTGTAACTTGCGTGAATCTTTCCAAAAATTGGAAAAATAACGTCTACAACTTAGAAACCACAGCGCTGGACTCTGATTTCAATTTCCTTTGCGATTTCCCCGAGAAGACAGAGTTTCTGACCACACCTTGTGTTGTTTCTGAAGATGAATTCAGTTACATCGTGGGAGTTGTCAAAACAGTTGTGTCGGCGGACACCGAAAGTCAAGAAGAAATCAAGACCCAATTTCTTGTAAGAGGACTGTTCAGTCCTTCAGCAACGTACAGAATGATAGGAATCAGAGACATTGTCCAGACCCTTGGTGAGGAGGATACCTTTCTAGATGCCTTTCCGTATCAAGAATGTAGCTGCTTGATCGTGTACGAGAAAAGGGAAGGGTTGAACAAATCAAAGAGCTCGAGCCCGTATCCAAAAGGGGCTGTGGTTTACAATGTTGAAAAGGAAGAACGTCTTATTCATTTCTCTTCGTTTTTAGAACCAACAACAGATGTATCCAGGATCAAATTTTCCTCAAATAACAAGGTTATTTTGGATAGAGATGGAAATGTATTCACAGCTGAATCGAATTTTACAGTGCCAAGTACACGAAGCAAAGGACTGGACTTAAGATATCCATGTCTAGCATTGAAAGGGCAGCATATTATTGGACTGACCAAAGACCGAACTGAGTTGGTAGTAGTTCGAGTCAGCGATGGTATCCAGAACGCAAAAATCCCTGTTCATGGTCGGGGATGCTGCTTGAGCGTGGACCACGACGACAGAACAATCGTGGTTGGTTGTGAGGACGGAAGAGTCATGGTGTGGAGTTTGATTTTACACTTGAGTGATCCCATGACGGAACTCATTTCAAAACTTCCCAGTCGAATGCCCAGTCAAGATAAAGTGAATGACAATCAAGAGGCGGATCTATTGCAAAATGATATAAAATACATCGAAGGTCGAAAACCACCACAGCGAAGCAGTGAGAGTAATGACGTCAGAAGACCACCAAGTCATCAGACCGTGTCCACCGCCGTTTTTCTGACACAGCAAACGAGTCTGGGGAGAGAAACACCCTGTTATGTACAATAACAAAAAATGATAGTTTTTAAATAATGATTTGTGCCAATTAATGTTATGGGACATTTTGTAATTAAATCATAAAATACTTATTGTATGTTTACATGCAAACAATTGCGTTATTTAAATAAAATTCAATACATTTATACAATCATTTGTATGTTTGTTGTTGAAATACAAAATGATATATTTATATGATATACTCATGTCATTTTGTATTTCAACATTATATTATAATTATATTATATACTTAAGTTTACATGCATATGAATAAATATAATGATAAGAAAATTTTGCATTCTTTGGTAACTTTTACTATACATAAAATTACAATCGCAGCTCAGTTTTCCTTTATTAAGAAGAAAAAATGGAATTGGAATCTGAAAACTTGAATAAGCTTCCATAAAAGGTAGATTAAAGATATTTTAGCAATTCTAATGTTTACAAAAATTACAAAAAATGTTGCAAACGGAGCATCCTCATGTCCAGTATGAAATGTTATATCACGGATTATTATTCTACGTGATACGTACACTTCTGTTATGCACGATAAGATAAGAATTATATTATACACGTACAAGGCCTCTCAAAGGATGTTCATAAAAACTTAGTCCCCATTGGTAAACTTGAAAAAATGAAACACTATATCTGATATTACTGCTTCGCATAAAACTCGGTGGGAGGATATGATCTATAGAAAATGTTTTACGTTTCGCCCTGAAATTAATGTGAGCTCCCTCAAGAGACCCCTGAAATTTTGTCCAAAACCACGATTCCTAGCACTTCTTTCACACGAGACCTGGATAAGAAACAGGAGTACTGAAGATGAGGTTGGCTGCTATAGTTTTTGTGGGTCTGCTTGCAGGTAAGACAAAAAATGTTATAGCTACACTCAAATAAATTGGCAATTATTCCCTTTCTGACTGACCTTTTTCGTACTGGTTGATAGGCAATTATTTACATACTAAGTTGTCCATGGATTTGCCTGTTAATATTTCCCGATCATGACAAGGAGAACACGGCGGGTGTGACCGTTCGGCAGGGGATGCTCACCCCTCCATGGCACCTGATCCCGCCAATGATGTTTTAGAGGTCCGTGTTTGTTCCGTTCCTATTTTGTAATGTTCAATGGACTTTTGAGCTCGAATATTGTTCGTTATTTATACATATTTCATCTTCATGCTTTCATATGAGTAAACTGTCACGGTGTACATTTTGAATTTACCGGGTGGCATTAAATACAAAATTGAAACCCGATAAATTCCAACATGTCAGAAATAATTAAAGAATACAAACTAAAGAACGTTAATTGTAGATCTAACAATTTACATTACAGATACTATAGACCTATAGTACAAGCTATTAAAGATAGTGGGTACATCGTGAACATTTGAGTTTCATATAATTACACGAAGATTTTTGCCTCGATTGGTGGAATAATATCTAAATACATCTGTACATATATTTCTAAATTTAAAAAAAAGAGCGCACATATTTAACATGTGCATTACCTGTACCAAGGCTTTTCCGAACATGCAATGAGATGCAATGAGTTTCAACCTCGTGATCTTGAATTGAAGGCCTTGAAGTTTGGTTTAATTTTAAAAAAATTAACATTGAGGATACTTTTAAGTAAGAAACGATAGGCCATTTATATTTCAGGTGTGCATCACGGTTGAAAAGATGTCTCTGAACATGCTATGGCTTTTTAAGCCGTGACCTTGAATTTTGACCTAATTTTCAAAACCAAAAAAGACCTTGCTGCTTACTTTTAAAGGAAAATTATATTTCATAGTTGACATGTACATTACCCGTGACAAGCACTTTAAATTGTGCTATTATTTTAAAATTTTTATCCTGACCTTCACACTCTGGTTTTGACCCCTTGACCTTGATTTACAGATTTTTAAATTTTTGTTTTAACATTGATAATAACTTCTGAATGAGAGAGAATGTCTTTCATATTTTACATGTTCAATTAACAACCTCCAGATGGTACTTAATTTATGACTTTATGACCTTGACCTAGCATTTTGACTACTTATAAAAATACAAGATAACTTTGGCCATAACTTTTGCTCCTGAAGAGACATGACTATCATATTTTTTCTCAAGAACAAAACTGTAACAAGACCTTTCAGGCTGTATTATGATATTTAATCTCATCACCTTGATCATGAAGTTTGATGTCTTTTCATCTTTGTCATGCCTTTTACTCTTTCAAAAATTTGTATCTTTTGTATGATGAACAGACTAGTCAGGATATACAGACAAGACCTTTAAAATATGACATAAACTAAACAACTGCACCCTTTGACTAAGACGTCAAAAGCAAGGGGCCTCTGGGGGGCTCAGTTCTTTGATTTTGCTGATCTCTTTTAAATCAAAGGACAGATAACCCCAACTGCATGAAAATTTTAAATCTTTAGTTTTCAAAGTAAAAAGAGTCCTTAAAGTTTTTCTTTAATTTTAAATACAAAATTACATAGGTTTTAATAAATCTTTCATGTATGAGATAGAAGAGAATGTTTTGAATTTTAGCAAAAATAATTTTGAAGGTTATAAAATTGTTAAGCAATATTTATAAATAAATGAGCATTTGTTGCAAATTAAAAATCTCTCTTAGAAATAAATTCTTTTGGCAAATAGAACATAGTTGGGAAATAAATATAGTGAATCGTTATAGGATTTTCCTTTGTATGAGAAAATGACAAAATTAAACTTTTTTTCAGTGTGTTGTGGGCAGTATGATACATACTACTGCAGATATTTAACTAATGCCAACTGTATATCCAAACCAGAGGATCTGCAATGTGGTACAGATGGAAACACATACTATAACGAGTAAGTCATTCAGATTTACACACTGTATAACTATTTATTTTACTCAGTGATGTATACCAAAGCAAATAATTGTACACAGGGACACATATTATACCATCATCTTTATTTTTTTGCCATCCATAGCTGTGACCTATCAAAGGCCCATTGCAAAAACAATGCGATCCACAGAAAGTACAAGGGGCCCTGTCCAAATGATGGCAGCACCACCACTAAACCTGTAGTTGGTGGCACCACCCAGATGCCAATCACAAATGGCCCCACTCAGAAACCAGTCAATGGATCAGAAATAGCTTTTAGCATTTTTTGCCTGGATTTGTTTCACCATGACTGTTCCAATGAAATGACCGAGGCTCTGTGTGCCTCTAACGGGCAGACATACCAGAATCTGTAAGTGACATCCACACAGCTCTCCACAAAGCTGTTCTCTGTTTTGTTGTCCTTGTTACAAGTGTGTTCAGAAAAACTTTTAGCAAATATTCTTTTAGAAAAATAAATTAAAGCTGCTAGGTCCGATTCTAATCGCAAAAAAAATAATTATATTCGTTTTTCTTCTTGAAAAATAATTGTCCATAAATTGTTTCAACTTTTGTCAAAATATATCCCTAAAGTCTTTTTCTTTTAAAAGATATCAAAATTCAAAATCAAAAAAAAATAATTTTTGTTAGGTCACACAAAAAATAATCCTATGTTGATATCGCGTGAAATCACCTTCGAAAAATTTAATTTATCGCTTATATGTTTATCTCATGAAGAACAAACCCGAGCATTTTTTACACAAGAAAGTACTTACACATGTACCTGTACACAGACAATATTTTAGCCTTCGTTACTAAACTTCCTTTAAAAAATCTTTAAAAATATCTGATTTTCCTTTATTCTTTAAATATGCATATTAATATAAAAATTACTTTGGATTATATTCAATTAATTTCTTAATTTTTAAAAGATATATTATGACTTAGGCTTCTACTAATGGAAAAAAATACTCGGGTTTGAATTATCTTTATAATTAGATATAATCGATAAATTTATTTTTTTCAAAGGTGACTTCACAACCAATCTTAACTTCCCATTAGGAACTTCTGTTTGTCAATAAGGTTTTTGATCTATGTTTTCCATGTAAGGATTGTTGTATGTAATGATGTAATTTTATTGTGTAAGATAATACGTGCCTGTTTCGGATTAAGCGCCTTTAACCTCTCTCCATTATTCAATTTTATCTTATATCAATAATACATGTGTATATGCAATAATATGCGGAATTCTTTATTCCAGATGTGAATATGAAAAGACAAAATGCACACACAGAGACTTACATATTGTAAAGAATGCTCCTTGTAATTAATAAAATAAAATCCTCCATTATCAAATCTGTTTCTCTTTAAATGGTTGATCAATTTCAATTTCAAGAATCAATCAAAAGACAATAACTAGAAACAACTTGAAGCTAGACCTAGTTACTATACTTCATTTCAAGTCAAGTTCAAAGTCCGCCTTGTTTCTTGCCAGTATCAGTATCATTTTAAAATAGCATCAAGGGTTAGCTGAATGACTCTCTTCAGTCTTTGGTCACACATTCCATAGCACTTAATCATTTAACTCAAGTCTGAAATCTCTAAGTCTACCACCCTCATTTGACTGCAGTATTTTGTGCCTCTGATGAGGGTTCTGTCTCCATTTCTATGGGTTTTGTCTCTGAACTCTCGGTATTGATCACAGACGGCACAACAGTACTAGGACTGGTGGTCACTGTTGGATTAGAGGGCACCTCTGAGGTTTGGGTTTTGGCTGGACTGCTGACACCTGCTGAACTTGTTGGGGGTTTGACAGGGGTGGATCCTGGGGTTCGTGGGGATCGCTGAAGTCTGCGTTTTGTTTCACGGTCTGCTGAACTCTGTATTCTTTGCTTCATAACATCTTGCAAAATTTTGTCCATGGTTGCCACTTTTTTCTGGGTCCTGGGAGTTCTATTACCTAGAATTGTAATGTATATGTTTATGATTTAATACCAGAAAGCAAACTAATATCATGACTCTGCCAATTATGTACAGAAAATACAGTGTACACTAATACATAATATATCCATCGCATGCATCATTTTTTTCTCTATATCATTTTCAGTTTAGATCTTTACTTAATTGAGCTTCAGAACTAGCTCTGTGTGAAAAACAATTTGGACAGACATTCCAGAGAGATGAGGTCCACCCATTGAAAAGTCCAATTTTATCACAAGCATCAAGACTTCATTTATTTCTTGCATTGTGTGTGTCAAACTAATTAATTGGCTTTCATTTTTCAAGCATGCTTACTTTTTTCTTGTTGCTTCATTTATTATTTAACAGTTCTAAACTGAAAATTTTGTGAAAGTAAACATAGACAAGAGGCCCACGGGCCGTATAGGTCACCTGAGTATTGTGTAACAACTTTCAAACAATTAAATTTGGTTCCTGTTTTAAACCAGAGGCCATGAACTTCACAATTCACAATTTTGAAAGAAGCACCATTGCTTATCATAATTATTAACTTAGCATGCTTACTCTATTTACTTAATACCCAGAGGTAGATCAGAGTAACAAAGAGAAAATGCACTTCCACTTTATACCCAGTTGTGCACCTCACCCCAAAGGAACCACTCACCCAGGGGCCACATATTTCAAAATTTTGCAAATTTTATCATAAAATGGTTGATTAATACCAAAGAGCAGATTTCAAAGCATTAATTTATTTTCAGACTATGTAACCCCCCCCCCCCCTTCTGACCCAGGGGGCATAAAAAATCCACTTTGCTAGATGCACCTTTCTTCATCAACAAGAGGCCAAAGGGCCTTGAATCGCTCTTCTGATGAATTGTACAACCTATCACTTGTATTTGAAGCCTCTAACCCTAAGTATTCTAAGACCCAGGTTGCATCAACTGACAAAGTTTGATGATTCTTAGCCAATTAGGACTACTTTTTGGTCTACATTCTTGGAAAACACATAATGCATCAACTGACAAAGTTTTATTATTCTAAGCCAATAAATACCTAAGATACTTAAATATAGACATAATATGTCGAAAGTAGGTCATCATGACCTACATTTTAGTCGACATTTTTCAGAGTCCCAAGATGCATCTGCTGACTAAGTTTGATAATTCTAAGCCAATAAATACCTGAGATATTCAAAAGTAGGTCACTGTGACCTACTCTTTGGTCAACATTCTCCGAAAACCCAAGATGCATCAACTGATATAGTATGATGATTCTAAATCGTTAAGTACTAGAGATACATAAATATAGCCATAAAATGTCAAAAGTAGGTCACCGTGACCTACTTTGTGGTCGACATTCTCCAAAAACCCAAGATGCATCAACTGACAAAGTTTTATTATTCAAAGCCAATAAGTACCGGCGATACTTAAATATAGCCATAAAATGTCGAAAGTAGGTCATCGTGACCTACATTTTGGTTGACATTTTTTAGAGTCCCAAATGCATCTGCTGACCAAGTTTGATAATTCTAAACCAATAAATACCTGAGATATTCAAAAGTAGGTCACCATGACCTACTTTTTGTTCGAAATTCTCTGAAAACCCAAGATGCATCTGCTGACCAAGTATGATGATTCTAAACCAATAAGTACTAGAGATACATAAATATAGCCATAAAATGTCAAAAGTAGGTCACCGTGACCTACTTTTTTGGTCACATATGCATCAACTGACAAAGTTTGATGATTCTAAGCCAATAAGTACCGGAGATACTTAAATATAGCCATACAATGTCAAAAGTAGGTCAATGTGACATAATTCTTGGTCATCACTCTCCAAAAACCCACGATGCATCAACTCACAAAGTTTGATGATTCTAAGCCAATAAGTACCGGAGATACTTAAATATAGCCATAAAATGTCTAAAGTAGGTCACTGTGACCTAATTTTTGGTCATCACTCTCCGAAAACCCAAGATGCATCAACTCACAAAGTTTGATGATTCTAAGCCAATAAATACCTAAGATACTTAAATATAGCCATAAAATGTCAAAAGTAGGTCATCGCGACCTACATTTTGGTCGACATTTTTCAGAGTCCTAAGATGCATCGCCTGACCAAGTTTGATGATTGTAGGTTTGAAGGTAATCAAAATATGCCTTTTAAACAATTTGAAAACAAATGCCTGCAAAATTCTAAAAATACGTCACAGTGACCTACTTTTTCTTAAATATGTTTTTAGGTCCCAAGATGTAGCAACTTACAAGATTTGATGATTCTAACCCTTTCAGTGCCTGAAATAATGAGATTAAATGTTTTAAAAAGGATAAGTCATAAAGTTCAAAAAGTAGGTCATGGTGACCTACTTTTAAGTTGACGTTGTTCAAGGACCCAAGATGCATCAACTGACTAAGTTTGATGATCATAGGCCTTAAAGTGTCCAAAATATGCCTTCAAATCAATTTGAAAACAAATACCCGCAAAATTAAAAAAGTAGGTCACCGTGACCTACTTTTGAGTTAACATAATGTGAAGTCCTAAGATGCATCAACTTACAAGATTTGATGATCCTAGTCCTTATAGTAAGCAAAATATAAACATTTTTATTAATTGTAAATTTAGGTCAACTTTAAATTGACCTTGAGACCACGCCCTTTGCCCCAGGGTCATGCCTTGAACAATTTTTAATCTTCAACATATCCTGATCCTTGTATGTAAGTTTGGTGAAAATCTGCCTGGTGGTTCTGGAGAAGAAGATTTTTTAGCAACCAGTACTTTTGGTTTTGTTTTCCTGATTATCTCCCCTTGTTTTAGGGTCCCAACCCTTATTTTAGTATAAATGGTAGCCCTTGGGCCAAGGATACCCTGTGACAAATTTGACACTGATTGGCCAAGGGGCTCTTGAGTTATGGCCCATATTCTAAAAAGTTAACGCACACCGCACACCGCACAAATGGCCATAGCATTAGCTCTTTGAGCCTTTGGCTCAGAAGAGCTAAAAATATATATACTTGGATCATTGGCATAAAACCCAGAAGCAAAGGAAAATATTTTCAAAGAATTAATATATTTTTACTACATAATCAATAGAGCCCCGCCCTAACACCAGAACCCCTGACCCCGGGGACATAAAATTCACAATTTTAGAAGAGGCACTCTTGCTCATCATAACGATGTGTTTAGTTAGTTTATTTAATACCCAGAAGCAGAGAAGAAGATTTTCAAAGAATTAATGCATTTTCACTACATGATCAATAGAGCCCCGCCTAAAAACAGAACCCCTGACCCTGGGGCCATAAAATTCACAATTTTATAGGAGGCACTCTTGCTCATCATAACTATGTACTTAGTTAGTTTATTTAATACCCAGAAGCAGAGAAGAAGATTTTCAAAGAATTAATGCATTTTCACTATATAATCAATAGAGCCCCGCCCTAACACCAGAACCCCTGACCCTGGGGCCATAAAATTCAAAAATTTGGAAAAGGCACTCTTGCTCATCATAACTATGTGCATAGTTAGTTTATTTAATACCCAGAAGCAGAGAAGAAGATTTTCAAAGAATTAATGCATTTTCACTATATAATCAATAGAGTCCCACCCTAACACCAGAACACCTGACCCTGGGGCCATAAAATTCAAAAATGTGTAAGAGGCAATCTTGCTCATCATAACTATGTACTTAGTTAGTTTATTTAATACCCAGGAGCAGAGAAGAAGATTTTCAAAGAATTAATGCATTTTCACTATATAATCAATAGAGCCCCGCCCTAACACCAGACCCCTGACCCTGGGGCCATAAAATTCACAAATCTGGAAAAGGCACTCTTGCTCAACATAACTATGTACTTAGTTAGTTTATTTAATACCCAGGAGCAGAGAAGAAGATTTTCAAAGAAATAATGCATTTTCACTATATAATCTATATAGCCCCACCCTAGCAATAGAACCCCTGACCCTGGGGCCATGAATTTCACAATTTTGGTAGAGGACTCAATGCTCATTACATTCATGCCAACAGTTTGCCTGCTTGATGTCCAGGAGTAAAGAAGAAGATTTTTAAAGATTGCAATAATTTTAGTGATTTTGGCCCCACCCCTCAGGCCCCAGGGGGGCGGGGACTATGAAATTCAAAATCTTTGTTCCCCTTTACCAATAGATGCTGTATACCAAATTTGGTTGAAATTGGTTCAGAGGTTTCAGAGAAGAAGCTGAAAATGTTCAAATGTTAACACACGACGGACGACGACGGACGAAAACGGATAGCAATAGGTCACCTGAGTTACTCAGGTGACCTAAAAATGCTGGTAAGAGTTATACCCCTTATTCAAATGCAGTATAGTGCTCAAAATACAAGGATGGTTTTTTTGAAACTGTTGAAAAGTAAATAAAGTAAGAAAAAAAGAAGTACACAACTGTGTATATGTTAAAGGTTATAAAAATGCTATTTAATAATTTTCTGAGATGTAATTTTACTAACCTGGTAACATTTAAGGTTTACCTTTAGTTACCTGGTAAATTTAAAGGTGTAACTTTACTAACCTGGTAATCGTTGAGGTGTAACTTTTGTTGTTGAACCAAAATCATCATCATCAAAATCAAACTCTGTTGATAGTACTTGTCTGAAAAGCAGATTAAGAAATAACCAGTGAAAATATCAGGCAAAACAAAAATTATAAGTACCCAGTATGGTGTTCAAATGGTTTTAGATTTATAAAAATATCAACAAGGCCTTTCTTGTATCTAATTTGACACAAATTAAGTGAAGGCATAAAATTTAAAATTGCTCCAGGTGTACATATCAAGGCCAGGGGTAGAAACTCCCTAAAATTATAACTCGCAAATAATTGTGAGTACCAAAATCAAAGTACTCAGCATAAAAGAATGGATTTCTTACATGAATCACATTTATATTCTGATGAAAAAATTATTTTAAAACTATCAATATAAATGATAAGACACTGACATTGAGTTTTTCAATCCTAATACCACGTCCGATTTTGTCATATCACCGCAGCTGAATGTAAACAAACAGGCCAGTCTGGTTCCCTCTCCTGCTTTACCTTGTATGTGTAGAGAACTGCGGTAACACTAAAATTATAATGAACTATGCAAATTTTCAAAGTCATTACTACTAATGTTTATTTTATATAGATAAAACTTCATTTTATTTTTGTTGCTTTATTTACCAAAAGCGGTTGAAATATATTTTTGCACGTAACTTTAAAATGGCGACAATTTCAAAAAACTCTTTGAAATAAGCCCGGCTCACAAAAAACAATATTAAAATGAAAGCTTTTTAAAAATAAACCTCCATCTATCCATCTTTTAAGAAACTTCTTTATTTTCGATATGATCATCAAACATTTCACATGCTTGTTCATTTCAAAATGAGGGATATAAGCAGTAACTAAAGAGTGGAAGACTAGAATGGGATTGAAACAGATTTTTTTCCTTGGTAAAAGTTACAATGAAAAAGTCAGCTAGCAATTTTTTTGCGAGTTACAAAATTTTTAACTCAAATTTGGATATTTTAATTTGTATTTTGCAAGTTGTATATAGTGAATTTCAAACCCTGCAAGGCCTCTATGGGTTGCTTTAAATATAACAAGTATAAATTCCCTGTTGCTGTCCTATTATACACTAATGCTAACACTTGTTGGACTGCCTGGGTTTCTACATCATAATGAAGAAATCCTTATTTCATTGCTTAAATTCTTACACATAAAACTAAAAATCATCTTTGATGCTGCTTTTTGGCACATTAATTTTGAACCATCTTATGGGTTGATATACTTTGTCTTTGTCCCTCTTTTGGGTAGGGCAGACTTTATTCACTAAATTTGAATCTATTTTTTGGGAAGAGGGGGGGGGGCTACATTTTACACACTAACTTTGAATCTTCTTTAGGTTGTTGAATGATCTCTGGTTTAGACTCCTCTTTCATTTTGACATCTTCTGAAGGCTTGTCTGCCTTTGGTAAATGTCTACCAGGGCATTTCCATTCCAATTTTAAAACCTTCTCTTTTGCTAAAGCTTCATAAAGCTAGAAAATGATAAAATTATTATTAATACATAATTTACTGAGTTATTTATATAAAACAATTTAAACCACATGTATTTGATATTTGTAGTGACTAAAAAATTTCAAAAACTTAAGTAACTTAAGAAAGATAAGAGTTTCAGAAATCAAAACCTCAAGGGTATATGTATTGATATGAAAGTTAGACATGACATTCTATAGCTACTAAGATATTTTACTTGGTTAAATGATAGAAATAATTCTGGATGTATTTTTATAAAAATAAACCAGGCAAATAATTCTACCTGGTAGTTTATGTGTATTATACAAATAATTTAGAGAGCCTCAATTTACAATATGGCATTTTAAAGCAAAAAATAATACTTTTTTGAAATGTCACATGTATGCTCTATTTAATTATATCAGCCATTGATAAACTTGGTCGCTTTTTTCAATGCATTCTAAAGCAGTACAAATACCTTTACAATATCTTCTGGTAAAGGGCACCAGGTTCCGTTGCCCTTTTTTCCAGGGTCATATTTTTCATCATCACTGCCCTGAACTTGCCAATCATCATCACTTTTTGTGTCCATCTTAGAAGAGAAAATGGTTGCATTAAAATATCATACTGAAGCAAGCACTGCAAGCGGTTCAAAGTGCCACTTGTAACTGCAAACTCTATTGACAATGTCTGGGTGAGGAGAAAATTTGTACTACTGCACATTCTTTTCCAAAATAAATCCAGACCAATCCTATTTCCCTGGCCTACTCATAATGCTCCATAGAGTACTACTTGCAGAGCATTATGGGTAGGCCAGGGAAACAGGCTACTCTAGATCCACAATGCATCACTTTTTAAGCTATGTTCTCACGAGAATGAAAAGAAAATTTCAATGTCCATATCAGCTGTCCTAATGAGAGCGTTTTTATTACTTTTAGTCTGAAATGTGGAATGTCAGACACCTCGGCCCATTGAAATCTTGGCCCATTGACATCTCGGCCCTATGACACCTCGGCCCAGACAGGTTGGCCCAAGATTAAAGACAGGTCGGCCAATCTATAAGACACCTTGGCCCAAACAGAATTTCATTGAGAAATATATCATATTTCATATTTCAGAATTTGCAAGTTTTAAAATAAAATATTTATTGAAAAAATTGGGTTCTGTAGAGTTCTCTAGGGTTCTCTGTTTAGTAGGACCGGATGATGAGGGGTTAATTATGATCGAGCGGCTAGGCTCCATTGAATATTGTCTACAACATTTCTACAACATTGAAAGCAATCATGAAAGTTAAATAATGGTTTCAACCATTAAGAAAATTCATATAGATTTATTTTTTTAATTCTCGAGCTCTCAGCATTTACATTGCACATTTCCACAGGAGAGAGATGCAAGAAATATGATTCCCTTCCTAATTTGATTTTTACTTATATACAATTTTTAGAAAAAAAATGATTGGGAAAAAGAATAATTAACTATTTAATAATGTAAATTATATTTTCTATCACCAAATTTTGATTGGGCTGAGGTGTCTTTTATATGGGTCAACGTGTCAATAGTTTTGGGCTGACCAGTCAGGTCCGAGGTGTCAACCACCAAGGGCCGAGATGTTGTTGGGCCAAGATGTCTGTCTACGGAAATGTGTATTGTAGAGGCTCCAATGGGAAAATTCAAGCATGAGGTCTTAAAAGAATCATTACTCGACAGATCCGAGGTGGTGAGTCAGTAAAATACGGGAAAATATAACCAGGTCCAGTACAATCACTAGATTAAGCTACGTAGGTAGAAGTACCTACGTAGCTTTATTTACCTACCTCAGGTAGCTTTATTTAGCTATTTCAAGGTAAGTTTTCAAAAGTTTTCTTTTTATTAAAAAGAGACAAAAAGTCGCAATTAAATGACTATTGATACTTATACTATGGAGGCTTAAAAAAACAATCCAAAGCAGAGATAGTTTATACATTGCTGCGTTTGGACAATTTAGAGCAAAACATGTAATTCCATTGTTTGTTTAACTGTCCTCTCTATTGGGCGCGGTGAGGCATGACTGAGCATGATTACTTCACATTGTGCTGAACAATTACCGACCTATTATCGTGTTAACCGGAACTGGACTTCTTTGTCATTTCATTTAAGGAGTAACTGTACTAACTGTCATACATAGCCCCAAAACTTTCAGAACTTTGATTGCAATTGCACAGAAAAAGACATTTTTCCAAGAGGGATTTTTTCATGAGTTGTTTTCAGATGAGTTCAAAGTTGAAAATGATCACTGCATCAACATGATCAAAATGATATTTTCTGCACATCCTGAGAAAAATGCTTTTTAATAGAAATAAATCAATTTTGTAGCTAAATAAAGCTACCTCAGGTAGGTAAATAAAGCTATGTAGGTAAATCAAGCTACATAGCTAAATCTAGTGATTGTACCAGACCTGATAACTAAAACAGGGGTTGCAGCAAAATGCTGTCCTCCCTTGTGTTATTTATTATTACCACAGGCGCTTATTTTTAAAGAACAGCTTACCCCAGCTGTTCTCAACACTATCATGTAAAAAGTAAAACAGTTAAATTTTTCTTTTAATCACTAATGTAAATAAAAGCACATTTCTTGTGTTTCTTTATATTGTTTTCTATTCATATAAGTTTAGGTCACGCATGCGCGTAATCTTCAGTACTCTGATTTTGTTGGTAAACAGAAGAAGAAGCTTGTTTCATACAAGGTTTAATTAACCGATGCTGGAAAGTGGAGAAATTATCCCCCAACGTGCGCAAAAAATATTGCGCCGTAAATTGCACCTTTTTTGCATTGCGGGATCTGTGACGTTATGCAGGTCCAGTCCAAAGACTATTTCTACCTACGTAGCTATTAATAGCTACCTAGGTATTTAAAGCTACCCAAAGTAGCTATTTTTACCTACTTTATATATTTTTTGCATTTTGCGGCCAAAAGACTAAACGGCGCAACATGGTGAAAAACATATTTTTTAATACGGTCACATTAATGATGAATACGTCAAAATTTTGGCCAAAAAATGATTACTTCCAAAATCGGCAATTTTACCTTAGTTTCTATGCAAAATTGATAATATACGAAGTAATCATTTTTTGGCCAAATTTTTGTCATATTCATCATCAGTGTGACTGTATCAAGAAATTTTGTGCTCATTATGTTGCGCCGTTCCTGCATTTGGCCACAAAATGCAAGTAAAGCAGAAAGTAGGTAAAAATAGCTACTTTGGGTAGCTATTAATATATACGTAGGTAGAAATAGTCTTTGGACTGGACCTGTTATGGTCAAAGACAAGTATCCTTATAAAACCATAACGCTACAGATCTGCAGCTAAGACAAGGATAGAGAAGAACTTATGAAGAATTCTCAAAAGGATACCCTATATGCGATTTAGCCTTTGAAATTTATCATATTACCTGGAAAGGTTGGAAACTCTGTCAAAAGTAAAACAAAACAGCGCCAAATTTTAACAAGAAATAGATATCACGTCCTAAATGCAGAACCTATCCTGAAAATCCGGATTTTAAATTCCTCTTTTTTTGGGCACCGTAATCGAAGATTCGGGCGATGGGCCTAAATAGTTTTTTCCTGTCCATCCATCCGTCCGTCTGTTTGACCTTGACCTTGGAGTCTGATCCAGTTTTGCTGATTTTTATCCAACATTAACGCTGGCTATAAGTGGCTTAGGGCTAGGGATTTCAACAACTTTGGCATGGAATTTGGCCTACTTTAAAAGAAAACATAAACCTTGGCCATAACTTTTGAACAGTAAGGGCTAGGACTTTCATACTTTGCATATGTAATCCTTGTGACTTCCTTTAGATACATAAAACTTTGACCCTTTGACCTTGACATGGAGTTTGTCTAACTTTTAAAAAACTTTGCCATATCTTTTGAACAAGTGGTGTTAGGGTTTTCATTTATATTTCACATGTGTATTTCTCTTGAGAAAACCTGACTTTGGGTACCAACAGTTAATTTGCATTTGAGAAAATTACTTCGCTAAAAAAGTTGCCATACGGGGGCATCAGTGTTTCACAAACACATCTTGTTAAACTTGTTTTTATGGGGGATATATTGAAAACTTTCAAATGCAAAGTTAATTTTCCCCTTAGTTTTTATACCATGCACTGCACTCCGACCATTTAAGGTCAAGGTCAAAAGGTCAAAGTTGTTGGTATCTCATGAAAGGTCTTGTCACAAAGAAAACATACGTGAAGTATGAAAGTCAGGCGCGGATTCAGAAATTTTTTCCAGGGGGGGGGGGGGGGGGGGGGGGGGGAAAAAAAAAATCCAATCCCAGAAATTTCTTGACAAGCAAAAAAAAAAAAACACCTAAACTCGCCAAAACGTCAAAATCCTATTTCGGGGGGGGGGGGGGGGGGGGGGGGGGGGGGGGGGGGGGGTGGGGGGGGGGGTGGGGGTAGCTATGATTTCTATTTCCTCAAATCTTTTATTTTTCATACCAATTTCACACATATTCGCGTTTACCAGGGGGGTCAGCGTTTTCCAAGGGGGGTCCATGGTAACTTTTTTTTTGGCTTAAGTATATACATTTTTTAACCTTGTAAATTCCAGGGGGGGGGGGGGGGTCCTGACCCCCCCCCCCCACCCCCCTCTAGATCCGCGCATGAAAGTCCTAGTATCTACCATTCAAAAATTATGGCCAAAGTAAGAGTTTGGAATTTACACTGTATTTGTAAAACTGTGTCAAACTCCAAGGTCAAGGTCAAATTTAGTGTTACCCAAAGAAAGGTCTTGTAACAAGGAATATGCATTGAAATATGAAAGGTATAGCTCCAGTAGATAAAAATTTATGGGCAAGGTTAAAGACAAACAGACAGATAGACAGACGGACGGACACGACAAAAACTATATACGTGTAATCTCGAAAACCGATTAAAATCATCCGTTGAAAATAATTACCAGAAAACAACGTACGATTGTATTCGTTTTCAAGATCAATGTATCGACCATAGAATTTGCAGCATTTACCAAACTTGAACAAAGCTGTTGATATCCTTGTTTCATCAACTTATTTATCAATAGCTTGTCTAGTTTTAGAAATTGTTCGTACATAGACCATACTCTTGCGTATC